GGGGGGTGCGGCGGGGGCTGCGCGGCGCTCAGCTGGGGAGGAAACACTTTCACCTCGGAAACGTTTTGTGTAACAGTCGAAGGCGCGGCGCGCGCTGGCTGAGCCGTCGTCGTCGGGCCCTAGCCGAGTCGAGCCGAGTCGAGCCGAGCTAGTGATGGCGGAAGGCATTACCGCAGGGACTACAGCAGGAGCTGCCTCCTTCCGTCTATGCCTGCGGCCAGCCCCGCGGCCAGCCCCGCGGCCAGTCCAGTGGCCAGCCCCGCGGCAAGCCCCACCCCTCCTGTGGGCTGTTTTGCGGGGCTGGCGCTGGCAGCCCGCGGCGCGCCGGTCAGGGGGAAGACCGTGCCCCACCCCGCCCACCATGCCCCGCCCACGCCCCCCATGCCCCCACCACGCCTACACCATGCCGTGGGAATAATGCGGGGGCGAACCCAGGCGCACCCTACTGACATGCTCAATAGGATTGGAGACTGATTGAACATCTTTCTTGAACGTGGACTGAAATGTGTCAAATGTTTTGTTTCTAATATATCGCCAAGGGCACTTAAAAGACGTGTACACGGTAAAATAGTTTCTTGTATTTCAAGACCTGGTCTTGGATGCCACTGGCGTTCTCCATAAGACTGGGTCTTGAAAAATACAAGACACTTTTCTTAACGTGTAAGGCCCCTCCCTTGGCTGTGCATACAAAAGTATGTGTCAGTTCGGCACAATAAGCTTCCTGAAATGAATCTGAGCCTGGGCAACGGACGGTACAGTTGGCCGGTTCTCGGTAAGGGCGCGTGCAACGTGCAACTGATTGGTGTCGTGTGACGACTTTTCTCTGCGCTGCCGCTGCGTAGTTTGTGGCCGATGGATCACTATCAGGCGGACGGCCAGGGGTCGACGCGGCCTGGGTCTAGGGGCCTACATGAGGCTAGACAACAACGTCTTCCATAAATTCGCAATCTATCCTCGGGTTTATGAAGGCGCTCCGGCGTTTTGACCCTACAGAGACCCGTCCTCGTTTGATGACTTCGACCATGTTTGCGTCCTCATAAATATTTTGTTTTAAAAGTGTGGAATCCATACTCCCACACAGAAAAAAGACGTCTATTAGATGTCTAATATGCATCTTTCTCTAGACCCCCAATGGTCTATTAGATGTTTAATCGTGTCTACCACTAGACGTCTATTATTGATCGATTGTCCACATTTACAACATCTATTAG